TGATGAAAACACGGCCGCATTTAAAAATATCAGCATGAATAAAATGACCAAACCTGGCGACAGTGACGGCAGCACCGCGGTCTCCCACACCACCTCCCCTCTTTTGCTTTTTCTTGTTGCGTGTGCGGCTGCTGCTGCGGTGGTGGCCGCATGAGAGTGAGGGAGAGAGAGCCATGCACCGCCCGCACACACACTCGTCATTCACTCACTCTCTGTGTGTGTGTCCCCTTGCATGGACTCTCGCCCTCACCTCACCCCACGAAGCACACACATAATGTGCCCATTGTATATATTGCATGCACACCCATGCAGGCCCGTTGGTGTTCTCTTTTGCACGACACGCACCGCTGCCGTCCTGCCTGGCTGCATGGGCGGAGCACCGTAACTGTTTCTGTTTTGTTTTCATTGCATTGAGTGGGCGACCTCTCTCTCTCTCCCTGTGTGTGTGTTTTGCTTTACGGGAGCAATGAGAGTGTGTGCGCTGGTCGTCCCACGCTTCGGCTTTTTGTTTTGTTCTCTTCCTAATTTTTTTCCTTTTATTTCTCCATCCCTCTTTTTTGCTTTTGGGGCAATCACTATGGACGTTTTTTCTTTTCCACTCTTCCCTCTTTAATTGTTTTTTGCCGCACTCTTCCTGTGAGGGGTGCCGCGTGTTTCCCGCCCAACTGCTCCACTCGCACACCCACCGACACGCTCATGACGATGGCCCTGTGCGCCTCGCCTGCTGCACGCATGAGGAGGGGCCGCGACGAACGGCGCGCTGAGGGAGCCGTGACGTGTGGGCGTGCGACGAGGGCCTGTGGGGCGGAGCACACATTTCTTTCCCTCTTGTCTTTTTTTCTTTTTTGCGGCCAGGGCGGGCAGACACCCGCAGCGCCACACACACAGCCACACCCTGCCGCCGTGTTTTTCTTTTCTTCTGCTTTTGCTTTTATTGTTCATTTCTCGCGCCGGCAGTCCCTTCGGTGTCGGCCTTGTGAGCATTTCTCTCCCTCCTGATGATTTTTTTTTTTGCTGCGCTCACTCTCCCGATGGAGTGACGCGACTCCCGTCATGTCTGCGTGCTTCTCTCAGTCCCCACACACACGAGTGACTGTGCTCTGCGGGCCGCACTCACACGCCGATGAGAGGGCTGAGGGGAGCAGCAACACGCAGATGACCCCATGAAGTATAAACGATGTGCGGACACATGGAGGGTCGGACGGTTGAAAGACATTTAAATATCTTTTTAATTTTTAATTTGGACAAAATATGCAGACAATTTCTGGAGCAAGATGGTAGTTAGGTGCTTTTTGTGTGGTTTTTCTTTTCTTTTTTTTTTTTTTCTTTTTTTTCTTCTTTCCAAAGTGTGAGGTGTGGAAAGGTAAAGATGATTTTTTTATTTTTTAATTTTAATAATTTTTTTAATAAATGGCCGCTGCTTTGTCTGCAGTGCAATATTGTGAGCCTGAGCGGTCTTTTTCTCTTTATTTCTGCCATGCGCTTCTGCTGTACATTTTTGTTTGTGCGTCCCTTCACATGCTCTGCTCCTGTTTTTACTTCTTTGCTTCGTGTGTCTGCAGGCACACACAACCACACACACGCACAGGATGCACATTGCAGTGGATTTGGATGCTTCTTTTGTAGTGCATGCTGGCATTTGCGTGTGGCGGCTGTTCTCTTCTTCCGCGGCCATGAAGAGAAGGAGGAGAGAGGGAGTGCGCACCCCGCGTCTCTTTTCCTGCGGGTGTGATGCGCGCGGTGGATGTGTTGTGTGCACCGAGTGACGGCAGCCTGAGCTATCGCGTGCGTGTGTCTGTGTGTGTGGAAGAAGCGTTCTGCTGCCGGTGCTGAGGCTCAGCATGAGAATTATACTTTCAGTGGCTTTGATGTGCGCATGCATGGCAGGAATGGTGAGCTGGGTGCTGTGTGCCATGTGGCCAATGCGGTGCACACATGTAGCAACTGTGCTGCCAGCTGTGCAAGGAAGTAGGAAGGGGCCACCGTTGCCTTCACGATGAATGTGACGACACATAAATACACCGGCCCTTATGAATTGTGGTGGCGTCAAATTTCTCCCGATGGAACCATCCATCCTTCCCTTCACGGAGCAGCGATGCTGACCAGACAGGCATCTTTCAGTTGCCGCCACCCCGTGAAGGGAAGGATGACACAAAATCTGGTGGGACAACTGCGCCGCAAGTTAATGCTGAGCCGTCACGTCAGAACGAGGGTGCACAACAGTCTGCTGCGGCTGACGCACCCAATAACGTCGATCCGAGTCCCGCATCCAACACGGAGACCAACACTTCCGAGACGAAGCCTGGGTTTGCTTACGTTTATAATATCAATGTGGCTCCGACACCATCCGAAATAAGTCCCACGCCTGTCACCGAGCGGAAGGGGAATCCCATTGATGGTGCGATGAGTGGTTTAATAAATGTTGAGTTGCCGCAGGGAGTCGATCTATTTGTGGCGCAGACGACGCTGGTGCAGCCGAAGGATGGGATTGTTCCAGTTACGACGAGGGATTCGTTTGCTTCACCCTCTCTCATCAGTGCTGGTGGAGTAATTGCTGCTTTCGCCGAAGATCACATGGATGCCGAATATCAAGGTGGTCAATTAAGCAAGCCCTTTTCTTCTGACATGGTTGCGGGGTGCATCGACTCTGCGTGGGATTGGTCCACTCTTGTTGGTGAGGTCAATAAAAGGATACATGGAGGGCACACACTGTGGTTGGTGCAGCGGAGGGAAAGGAGAGTTTGGGTGTTGTGCTCCGCCCCACAACAATCACGAAGGGCAACGGAGTGTTTCCTCTTGCGGGAGGCTCTGATGTGCCCTACGAAGGTGGGTGTTGGAGAGAGGGCGGCTTGGAGCCGAAACTGGTTGTGGGTGATGTCACGAATCCCACGGGTGGCAAGCAGAGTGGAGGGATCGAATGTGGCGACCCCGAACCACTCCCGAAACGGATCTCTTTAGCTTCTCACGAAGGTGACTGGACGGAGTTCATTGCTTCTGGTGGCGCAGGTGTTGTGATGGAGGATGGCACGCTTGTGTTTCCTCTGATGGCGAAGAGTAAGGCAGAAGACGTTTGCTCCATGATCATTTGCTCGACGGACAGCGGCAGTGCCTGGGCGCTCTGTGAGGGCATGTCCCCTGCGGAATGCCTTAACCCCCGCGTCACCGGATGGGAGGGATCACTTCTCATGATTGTTGACTGCGAGAATGGCCAGAGGGTGTACGAGTCGCGTGACATGGGGACAGCGTGGACGGAGGCCATCGGGACACTCTCGCGCGTGTGGGCCAACGCACGTTCAGGAGTCCCTCAGAAGGAAAGCCCGCGTGTGGATGCCCTCATCACCGCGACCATTGAGGAAAGGAAGGTCATGCTGTGCACTCAGGGAGGGAACTCCTCGGGGAAGAAGAGGGCCACTGCGTTCTGCCTTTGGATCACGGACAACAACCGCACTTTTTCTCTTGGACCGGTTGCCGTGGACAAAGCTGCGGATTGTATGCTCGCCAGCACCCTGCTGTACTCGGATGGCAATTTGCATCTTTTACGACGGAGGGGCAACGGTGAGGGCTGTGTCATCTCACTTTCCCGACTGACGGAGGAACTGAGTGCAATCAAGTCCATCCTCAGTACTTGGGCGCAAAAGGACACTTTCTTCTCCAGCTTGTCTACACCCACGGCGTGTCTGGTGGCTGTTTTTTCCGATGCGGCCAGTGATGACCCGTGGAACGACGAGTACCCTTGCCTGCATGCGATGGTGAAGGAATGCAGTGAAGGACAACGATGGGTTTCAATTGACGGAACTTGAGTCCAGGGCAATATCGCCTGTGAACACTCAGGTTTTTTTTTTTTTTTTTTCTCTACTCTTACCAGCGCGTCTAGCTATACAATGCCATCTGAGTGCCGAAGAGGTGGCCGAGTAACGACAAAAGTTTCCTGCTATGAAGCAACTGCCATTGAGAGAACTTTCCGTGGCGAAGGTCCTGTTCAATGCCCAATCTTTGGCGCACAGCCAAGGTGCCTGGATATTCTAGAAGCAGATGGTGCAAGGTTTCCTGTGGGCCAATTGGCGTGCTTTTGGAAGCTGGCTGATCCTGCGGTAGCAGAGATCGCCTCCTGGCACTGCTGTTTAGATGTCGTGTGGCGTCTGGGTTGTGTGCGCAGCGACTTCTGTGCTGTGCGGTACTTCTCCGTGTGGGGAAAACCATGTCACAGAAATCGCATTTGAGCTCGGGAAGCGGTGGAGGATGTTCCGGATGAAATGACCGACAGTGACTGACGAGATTCGAGAATCCCGTCAATGTAGAATCACAGTGCGGACATTTCTCCTTCCGACGGCGTGTGACGGTTCGTCTCCTTACTGGAGAGACGTCTTCATCCCTTGCCGATGGGGAAACAGTGTCCGTCCCCGGTGCAGTTGGATCGTTGTTAGAGCGCATATATGCAGACTGTTCCGGTGAGATGTTGCAGAAACGGCATTGATTTGTGCAATCTCTCACAGCCCAGTATAATCGGCCCCAGAGCTCAGATTCCCCGCACCTTGCCCTTGCGAGGTGAACCAGCTCTTGACGGTGAAGAACTTCCTGAGTGATCAGGTCCTTACCGCTGAGATCTGATGGCCTTGTGCCGCAAAGCAAGTAGCGATGAGTGTCTTGACGAATCGTACTACGCCACTTGTTGGTGAGCTGGGTAGTAAAACATGTCAGCAGATCCGTATGCCATAAAGGTGCAATTCCTTGCTCCGTGTATTGTCCGGTTGCCATAGTCTGCGTCGCATACTGATCTGCAAGCTCGTTAGCATGTATTCCACAATGTCCGTAACAAAACTGCAGGTGCACAGACCAGCCAGCACACGTCAGTGTTAAGAGACGTTGCCAGATCTGATCCTCCGTCCAGTCTGTCTGACTGAGCGGGCCCTTATTTAAAGCCGCAAGAAGAGACTGACTGTCTGTAACCACAAGCAGGGTTTTATGCCTGTGTCGGATAAGAGGGATAATCAGCTTCTCCAGGGCTAGAAGCAGTGCACGGGATTCCGTCCTGTAGCTGCATGGGCGTGCACCGCAGTTTATACTGGCCTTTTCTATTATCTCCGATGAATTGAGGGATGAGATCAGTATTCCAACCCCGGCTGACTTGGGAACGTCGACACCGCCACCCGTCGC